AACAAACCCTCGATAGTTTCACAAAAGAAAATGAACAAATTGAGTTTGACATTTACATACATGACAAGGTTTATTACAATTAAATAAGTTTTTTTTATTTAATTTATTTAAATATTTAAAAATATCGTAAGAAAATCTTTTGCTTCATTATATAATTTTATTTGAGCACTTAACTTATCGTTCGTTCGGAAATCATGTTACTTTCCTCACTTAGATGAAGAATAATGTGTTAGAAATAAACTTTCGATACTTTTTTTTTCAAAACTAGTGTTCCGCCCCGGCTTCGCTCTTATGGGTCTCGACAACAGCGCCACATATCGGATTTAAAGCTGAATCTAAACCATTATGAATCATCCAAACACAAAAAATTTCATCAAAATCGGTCGTGACGTTGTTGAGTTTTAGCGAAACTAAAGGACAGCTAATGAGTTTTATATATAGAAGAAGAATTATACATTATAGTGAATCAAAATAACGTAGGATACGTAATTATATAAATTATTGACTGCCTCTTTGCTTTAATGGTCGTGAACGTGACTCCTGATAATGAGGTCCTGGGTTCAAATCCCGGGTCGGCCTAAAATTTGTTATTGGGCCGTATTAGGAGCTAACCGATATTTCGTATGAGTGCTTAATATTCTTGAAATTTTTTAAAAAGCACAAAATGTAATCATGGTAATCATTAGAGATGAAATGGATAGCTGTTTGGCCGGATAACAGATACCGGATATTCGGCTATTCTTATCGCCGGATAGCCGGATATCCGGCCGCCGGATATTCTGCCGAACATTGGCGTTTGGTGCATAGCAAGAAGCGAAAAGTAAAGTCAGTGCAAACTGTTCGCGATCGTGACCCTTATATATGGTGAGCAGGTATTGCTACACAATACCCAAATTTATCAAATTTTGCCAAAATCTATCTTTCAGCACCCTGCAGCAGTGTGTACAGCGAAAGACTTTTTACTGAAGCTGGCCTTGTTTATGAAGACAGGCAAACCGCTTGTTACCTTTCAATGCAAAGAAATTAGTATTTATTCACCATAATTTGCCCTTAGCTACGTAGTACTATTGTTTATTCAGTACGAGAACTAATTTTGTAAGTTTTAAAATGACAATTTTGTGATTACTAATTATATTTGTTAAGTGACATAAATAAAATACTTAACTAAATTTGATATATTTTGTCTTTTTTAAACCCGGTATCCGGCCAGATAGTAATTAAGGCCGGATAGGCCCAATACTGGATAGTTACCGGATATCCGTTTCATCTCTAGTAATCGTATATAAATATTACACCTTGTGAAAAAATTCCACGCTTTATCTAGTATAGTATTAAACAAAAATCACTTGCCAAATGTATGAAAGATCATCATCACTTGATAACGGCTGGACCTATTTTGATATTTTTTTGTGTTTGAGTGAGTCAATTATATTCACGATCGAGCCTCATAGGTGGCGCTGTTGTCGAGATCCAGAAATCATCCGTGCAAAGCCGGGGTGGACCGCTAGTAAAATATAAAAGTGGTAAAATTTAAAAAAAATATATACAAACGACTTCAATCTGTATATATAAGTAAAAATTAAGTGTTTGTTTGTAATGTCAAAATAAATGATTTTTACTGAATGCATATGAAAGTTTTAGCCAAAACGGTACTTATACCAAAAATACAAGTTTTTAAATTTTTGTCTGTCTGTTTGTTCCGGCTAATCTCCTAAACAGCTGGACCGAATTTGACTCGACTTTCACTGGCAGATAGCTGATGTTATAAGGAGTAACTTTTACTACTTTAATTTTAGTAAAAGCCTTAGGGTTAAAAATTAAAACCTTAAATTACACGCGGGCGAAGTCGTGGGGAACAGCTTGTGTAAAATAAAATGTGAACATCAATGCAATCGAAGTCAATTAAATACGCATTATAAAGGATAACTCAAAAACTACTGGTCAGATCTTGATCAAATTTATATAAATTACACGAGAAGTACCAGCTTTCACATAAAAAAGAATCATCAAAATCGGTTCACCCAGAAAAATGTTTTGAGGTAACAACACACAAAAAAAGTCGAATTGAGAACCCGTCCTCTTTTTTTTAAGCCGGTTGAAAATAGGTTAACAACCGACTACTGTTTGCGTGAGAGAGGTCAGCGTAGGGTAGGTAACCTAATGAAAGTTGTTTTATACAAGCTCGAAGTAACTAACTAGTAATGAACACTAACTGGTCGGTAGATTGCAAACGCTTAATTAATACTGCGGTAATAAAAGTATAGGATATCTCTTTCTTCTGCCATTTCAATGATTATACCAAGAACATGTAACGCGTCACTAAACAACTTGTACGTGATAGAGTCACGTTGGATCTTGTAGCACGAATGGCTCAACCTGGGAAGGACGACGCTTTAACAGAATACCAGCGTAAAATAGCAGCATAAAGCTGCTGTGTTTCGTATAGTGAATATAAAGAATTGAAGATTCTTTTATTGGAAATGACGCAATTTTAGTTCTCAGAGGTGGCAACGCATCTGCAATTTAATCCATTTTAATCCTTAATCGACGATAGATGTAGATGGCCACAACACCCACTTATCATCAGGTAGATCACGGTCACCGTCGGCAGTAAGCAACTACACACAAAGTATAAAATTTAAAAAAAAGCACTAGTAATGCCATTAACATCACTAATGTTCAGAGTTACCACTCCAGGTAAGCTTAGAAAGCTTTTGTTAAGTTGAGAGATTGAGTTGAGAATGGTTCACGATGATAGTCGAAAGACTGAAGAACTCGTGATCTTTAAGTTCGCCGTCCGTACCCTACTATAAGCTTACTGTCGCTTAAATATACATTATATCGACATATATAGTACTAAGTGCACGCGCGACTCTTGCACGTTCATTTAGACAGGTTATGTCGGATTCGCACCGACTAAACAACACAGCATTCCACCTGCGAGCTCAGGAGGCTAGCAAAGCGAATTTTTGCAAGAGGTAGCCTGACTGAATGCAGCAATAGTCTATACATGTATATCCGCCGCCGACTATGTTTCGAAGCACTGCCTTTAAGGGCCAACTGTCACTGGACTAAAATGGAATGTCGTGTTAATCGTATTAAAATGGTTATTTGGTTCTGGTCACTCAACATACAAATCACATCACCCTGGTAGAACCGAACCATTCGCGCTACCACGTAAAGATAAGATAAGATATTCTGAAAATGGATTATACCACAGATTGATCGGTTATAATTTTAACTTATTTTTAGTACTCACTCACGGGCAGTTCTGGGGGACCTGGATTAAAGTTAAACCCGACAAAAATCTATACAATTAATTTTAACAAATTAACTAATCATTGACGAATTATATAATTTATAATTAATTATAAATACCTATATTATTACAAACGCAGTAGAAATGCGGTCGTTAAGGAGTATGTTAGGGCTGAACCTGAATGACAGGGTAAGAAATTGTGTAATAAGAGAAGAGTGTGGTTTGCAAGATGATGTTGTGACCAGGATTAAGAAAGGAATGCTTCGGTGGTTTGGTCATGTGGAAAGTTTGAATGAGGAAAGAGTGACAAAGAAAATTTATGGTGCAGAAGTGAATGGCAGAGTCGGAAAGGGACGTCCTAGGCGAAAATTTATCGACCAAATTGGCGATTTATTGAAAACGGGCCAAATTAGGAGTACCCTTAACCGACGAGCATGTATGCGTAGGTGTATGGATGTGAAGGAGGCAAGAGAGGTGTGTCAGGATCATGCCAAATGGAAGTCTGTAGTCTCTGCCTACCCCTCTGGGTGACAGGCGTGAGTGTTATGTATATGTATGTAAATACCTATATTCTCTTTCAGCCACTTGCAGCGTTGGAAAGTGTAAAACATTTATGTCAGTTCGAATGAGTTGAACAAGTTCTCAAAAACTACTTTGATGTTTCTATGCTTTAGTTTATAGACTTATGGTACGTAATTAATGGAATCAGGCGTTACTTTGCGGAAATCCATTATATAAAAAAGTTAGTAAAAAGTAAAGTTACAGCCTATATACGTCCCACTGCTGGGCACAGGCCTCCCCTCATTTCTGAGGGGGTTTTAGGGCAAGGAAGTGTCCGCCGCGCTGCCCCAATGCGTGTTGGCAAACTTCACATGTCTTCGAAATATTTTTTTTTATTCCTCAGACATGCAGGTTTCCTCACGATGTTTTCCTTCACCGCCGAGCACGTGGTAAATCAGCACTTAAAATTGCAATTAACAATTTCATTGGTGCCGGCGGGGTTCGAACCCGGGTTACTCGCATTCTGTTATATTTACAGCGAGCGTTAACCATCTGAGCTACCACGGCTCTCTATATTATATAAAAGGTATCAAAAATTAATTTGTTCAGTCACGCTCAATAAAATAAAATGATGTGTCTCATCCAGTTTGAAGAACACCTTCCACCCTCCTCGATTGCGTGCACTATCCCTGTCACCACTAATCCCAGCACCACTACTCCCAACGCTACTATACTGGGAAAGACACACCACCCTCTATACTACGACACGTGTTTCGCCTCTACACGCGGCATCCTCAGGTGAAGTAGACTCTGCGGTGTGCCACACCAGGCTAGGAGGTAGTGCTCTTCAAACTGGGTGAGACACATCATTTTATTTTTATGCGTGGAACTGAACAAATTAATCTTTAGCACCTTTAATTATGGTATGTACTAATATCTGACTTATCTATCGTATTACGCAATTCTGTAATGAAAGTCGTAAGCTTAGAGTTATTACATACAGCTCTGAGATCGTATTAAATTTAATAATTAATAAATAAATAATAGGTATAGCGGGTTCCTTTATACTTACTATCACAGACTACTAAGAGGATACTACGCATCTTACTATCTTACCCTTTGGTAGCGTAGATAATAAGAACATCTGTTTACTTTACCATAGCAACCGCTGTATTGACAAATCATTTCCTGACAATTTAACCTAAATCAAAAAAAATGCTCTATCGCTTTTAAAAGCACTATGAAACTACTAAAGTTTCACTTAAGATATCATCCACCCGGAATAATTCTGGAGTATACAAAAAAAGGCAACGTTAAGAGTAAGGATATCGATCTCTTGGAATTGAACTGCAAGTGAGTGTGTAACCTACCGTATAGTAAAATCTAGCCTCTTATCGCTATCACAATTTGGAGGCAGTCAAATTTATTTATTTACTATTTACTTCATAGTTAGCTTAAAATTATATACTTTTAAAATAAGACAGAGTATTATTCTGGAACGAGCTTTCTGTAGTATAGGATGAGAACTGCAATATTTTTACTTATCCCTTTTATTTTTCCTATATTTAGAAACATTGTTTTTTTTTTTTTAAAGGGTAAGAAACTAATACATAGTCCAACTGATAGTTAGAGGATCGATGTAGTAAATGTGTATAATGCTTACGTGTCCCGCCAAGATGAGGACATTAAGATAGTGTGTTGTAACTATTTAACAGACAATTGCAGATGAGTTTTGTACGTAATGCTTAGTCACTTTTATCCGAATAAGATATAGCGAAGTGTAAGGAATTGGGAACAAAATTGGAGATGGGTGGCCATACTCCTGATTAACAACTCAAAATAATAAAAGCTGCGGTTTTTTATAGAATATAAGTGACAAACGAGCACATAGTCCACCTGATGGTAAGTGGATGCTGTGGTCCAAAGACATCTACAGCTATCCTTGATTAAAAATAAAAGTACAGATGTGTTGTCCCCCCTGAGGACTAAGATGGAATGTCTCGTCACCTTATTCGTAAAATGGTAGGTAGTTTGTTTATACAATTTGTAAGTAAAACAATTACAGCATTTGCTATGAGTTGTGGCTTACGAATATATAATCCATGAGGCATGAGGCATGATACTAAATGAATGCTGTAACCTAAAGACCGCGTGGTAGAGCCACGATGCAGGTATATTGTAGTTGTAGCACGAATGGCTTGACTCGACCAGAGCGGGATCACGCTCTCACAGAATGCCAGCGTAAAATAGCAGCGTAATACTGTTGTGTTTTGTATGGTGGGTATAGAGAACCGGAGACACTTTTTACTGATATCTAGGCATTCCATCTTAGTCCTCGGATGTGGCAGCGCAGTTGCAGTTTGATACTCAATTGAGGATAAATGTTGATGTCTATGGGCCGCAGCATCCACTTACCATCAGGTAGACTGTGTGCTCGTTTGTCACCCAATGCTATAAAAAAACTCACTTCGCATATAAATCAAAATGCAGACGCGTCTACCTTTGAGGACTAGGATGTACTCGATGACTCGTTACTAATACAAATAGTTTTCGGCTTTGTTCATTACACGAAACACAGCAGCATTATCCTGCTATTTCAACCTGGTATATCATGCGAACTTAGTACATGTATACCAGGTTGACCACACCAGAGAACCAATCATGTTGCAGCTATTTTTCAGCTGCCGCGTGGCTCTACCACGTAAACTCTAAGCTATAACCATAGACAGAGATGGAATTATAATAAGGCATACTGGATACTGGCCTAGAGTACACCGCAGAGAGGGCATTTGTTATTAAAAAATGTTTTATTATAGAAATATTGAAAATGATATGCTATACTATTATAAAATAAAAAAGAGCACGATTTGCTATAAAAACCAAGTGCATTAAACAGTTAAATGCGGCGCCAACTACAGATAAAGTAAAGCAATAATAATTTATCTATATCCCCAGTTCAGATGTGAAACAAATAGCAGATAACCTCCAACAAAAGGAAGCGCTTATAACGGATGAAGTTCGTGAACAGTTGGAGCAGTGCCTGGTGACGCTGAAGAAGAGGATCGAACACGAGGGTCCTACAGGAAAACGCTTCTACATCTATAAAACTTTAGTCACTCATCTCCTACCATTAACCAATGTGGCTTTTGATAAGGCTGGAAGCAAGTGAGTTTGTTTAGTAATTCTTTATCCTCTCATTTCCCGTGAGGTAAAATAATTTAAGTTAATACATACGAGAATTCATCACTTCATCCTTTGGATCTATAAATCTATAAATTTCGAAAGATCTTATTAATGCTAGTTATTAAAAATAGTACGTGAAGGTAATATGTTCATCCGGTTAATATGGTCTCTTTCTTGTAACTAAAAAACTACAGCCTTGTTTGCATAGATGGCTTTGTGATACGATAGCTCTTCATTGGTCAATCAAATATTAAAAGGTCATAAAGGCGATGCTTCATCGACGCCATTTTGACAGTTGACATTATAGCAAAGAGATTTAACTACTGCTTAAATGTCTTTGTTTTTTGCATTATAATAAATATACATACATATACATATACATAAACACTCACCCAGAGGGGTAGGCAGAGACTACGGACTTCCATTTGGCACGATCCTGAGATACCTCTTTCGCCTCCATTACATCCATATATCTACGCATACATGCTCGTCGGTTAAGGGTACTTCTAACGTGGCCCATTTTCAAAATATCGCCAATTTGGTCGATAAACTTTTTTCTAGGGCGTCCCTTCCCGACTCTATATTAGACGAATTTAGTATAGTATAGTGTAGATAGTTTTTTAAGTAGATTTTTCGAAATTTTCCTAATTGTTGACAAAGCTTGTTTGCTATTTTTTCCTTAATATATTAGTTATAGTACACGTCTTTGTGTTTTTGTCTCTGTTTTTCGCCTAGTTTTGGTTTTATAAAGAGCCAAAGCTTAAGGTTACCATATTACCGTCACGTACCTTACTTATACCGGGAACAGGAGACATCGGCAAGAGTACAAAACGTCTCGCTCTTGCCTAGGGCGTCAATTTACTTCCTAAGGGCGATTAGGACAAATCTTCCGTACAATGGAAGGAAGCTACGTCCATCAGTAACCTATACAGGCTTAAGCATAAGAACAAGAAGATCATTTAAATTATTTACATTAAGGCTAGGATTTCTTCACTTCTCCGCTGCATTCTTATTTCTATAGTACGAAGTAAGCGTGCAACATTCGGAAGACAAAAAATTACTTCATTTTTAACGTATTTGCTTGCTATCGGGAAATAAAAGATCAAAATAAAAAATGTAGCCGATGAAGAATCGAATGCTATTCATATTATCGAAAAATATTTTAGGGTTATCGTTTAAAAACTCGCGCGAGAAAATCGTGTCTAAAATACGATATAATATCGAAACCTGGCCTTAAAAGCTACGTGATCGTAGGGCGATCTGGACACGTAGTCATCAATTTACTGTATAACTCCAAATCAAGAGCGAAGTTATTTTTAGTTTGTAAGGTTAAGGTTTCTTTTCTGTGTAGGCGTTCGCTCCGGGCTAGAGCCACCTTCATAACCAATCAGTTTCTTCACAAAAAAGCATACAATGCACCAAGTGATGTGTTCGAGTGTAAAAAGTATGAAAAGCAAGTCACAGTCTACATACGATCCACTGGTGGGCACAGATGTCTAACTTCATAGATTATTATAGAGCAATATGGCCGCGCTGCTCCTGTGCATGTTGGCGGAATTCAAAAGATATTTATGCATCGTCAGATACGCAACGACGGAAAAATTAAATATTTTTAATTTATATGTATAGAAAATATAATATCCTTAAAATTCTCTTTAAAATAATGGAAATCAGATTAATTCGATTTCGATAGCAATACCGTGCGCATATCTGCTAATAATTAGGAGCACAAGACGCAAAGTCTTCCCTTATTGTCCGATCATTTAAATGCACTTGTGTAGAATTAAACAGATTTTGTTAAAAATTATACGCGTTTTTATTTTATTGCGTGTTTACCAGGGTGATCCATTTTTGTATGAATTCAGACAGTACCTATTAGAAAGTTATGGCAGTTGTATATTTTTCATTATATAGACGCACATATACCTGGTTGTAAATGGATGTCGTGACCACATAGATATCTACATTTATCCTCAATTAAGAATCAAAATGATGATGCGTTAACACCCCTAAGAAGAAATAATAATGACTAAAATAGAATACTGACTAATAACTAAGATAAAATGCCTTGTTTCCAGTAAAAAAGGTCTCCATTTCTCTACATACACCTTAGGAAACACAGCAGCATTAAGCTGCTACTTTACACTGGTATTCTCTGAGAGTGTGGTCCTACCCTGGTCTAGTTGATCCATTCGTGCTACAACTTTAATACAGCTGCAGCGTAGCTCTACCACGTATATATTCGACGAGATCGTCAGGATCATCCACGTAATAATTTATTTCAGATGCATCACGGGCAGCTACGATCGCACGTGCAAAGTGTGGGACGTGGAGACCGGCGGCGAGCTAAAAACATTATCTGGACACCAGAACGTCGTTTACTCCGTCGGATTCAATTATCCCATCTGGTAATTATTTTATATACGATTTACCTAAACGTTTGACTACAGCGAGCACCAAAGTGGTGGCGCAACTACTTCTACCATCATCATTACAGCATCTTACAAGTCCACTGCTGAACATGATGCCCACATGGTATCCCACAAGATATGCCACAAAACGCGGTCCCGAGCCCCTTGCAACCAACGATAAATCGTCACTCCACCTAGTGCAACCCTAGGTAACAGGCTTCTGACTAGGTGCAAGTCTAAAAACTTTTTTCTATCGGTACTAGTCATTTCATAGAGCTAAATGGCTGGTCCATTGAACCTTCAGCTTACCGATTTGTTGCGTATTTATTTAACTATAATTGTATGGCCTATAAATAATTGTTCCTGGTCAGTATGGTGTGGAAGTAATTTGTGTATATAAAATGCCTCAACGATACAAAAGAAACTCCAATAATGAGAGATAAGGTGTTCTGTACTTTGTAAATAACGCTAAAGTGTCAAATGAATAGCAGATATTACACACAATCTTGTATATAAATTAACAAAATCATTACTGCATAGAAAAAAATTTGTTGTATATAATTTTTTCTTTTAGTAAACATTAAAAAAACCGTTAAATAAGTAAAATAAAGTGTTTTCACGTTCTTTTTTTGATCTCATAAAGTATAAAGTACATTTGCCCGAAATAACGTTAAAGTTACAGCCTATATACGTCCCACTCCTGGGCATAGGCCTCCGCTCATTTCTGAGAGTGTTTTAGGCCAAGGAAATTTCCGCCGCGCTGCCCCAATGCGTGTTGGCGAATTACACATGTCTTCGAAAAAATGTTACTTATTTCTCAGCATGCAGGTTTCCACACGATGGTTTCCTTTTACCGCCGAGCACGTGGTAAATCAGTTTTAAAATTGCAATTAACAATTTCATTGGTGCCGACGGGGTTGGTTTGCTCACGTACTGTGAAATTTACAGTGCTTTATTGTAAAGTACGGGTGGCAACCCTATGGCAACCGTAGTTTTATTTTGAGTTGTAATGTGGAAAATGCTGTTGTCTATCCCATGGTACAGTCTCCCTCCTTTGTGTCTTAAGTGATCCATGGGATGAATGAAATGAACTGTTCGATTTGATTTGAAGTAATGGCTTCTCTTGCGTCGCCACTGCTAGACGTAAAACATAAACTGACTTTTACTGCAATGCCTAAGATTACTAGGTAATAAGTTTTGCAATATGCAACATACTAAGATTATTGTGTACCCTTATACTTTGTAAGCAAATTAACACTTTAATAATATGTTTACACAATAGAGCTACGCTGCTGCCATAATATGATTGTAGTACCAAAGGTTCAGCTCGACCAGTTAAAGACCACATAATAATGTGCAAGCGTGGTCTTTAACTGGTCGAGCATTAGGCTGCTGTTTTAGGCTGGTATTCCAGCCTAAAACAGCAGCCTAATGCTGCTGTTTCTGATGGGTTAGATAAAGAACATTTTTTTCAGTAAAACTGAAATGCAAAACAAACTTTACAGTCCACCAACAACTTTCATCTACAACAAACTTCAAATAAGAAGGCTACAGATGTTTTTGTCATCTCTGAGGACCAAGATGGAATGCCTCACAGCATGTAATTAAACTGAATCTCTATACTCTTCAGAACTGAGCACAGCAGCTATTTGGCGAGTTTTGGCGGGAACTTGGCCGTCAAAGGATTGTCGCTCCTGTTTTGTCGCTTGAATAATGGTTTCAAGTGGATTTTGATTCGTAAAAGTGATGCGACTTTGTGAATTAAGTATCCGCGCGTGTGAACTATTAGAGAAAACGACGAAACAATGATGTTGATATAAACCTCTAGTTAAATTGATCGCTTGGGCGCCTTATGAACTTGAGTGGCTGTCGTCATCAACTGTCCGCTGGGTTGAGCTGTCGTCAAAATCTCCCAAAAACTTCGCAATATGACGCATCAGCATATTGTGAAGAAAAAAATATATAAAATGAAGATTCTGAAAGAAATGATAGGCTCAGAAGGGCTAGGACCCATAGCCGTAAAGTTAGTTAAAAAAAGCTATTTGGCGACAGGAATAAGTAAGAGAGTGGTACCTATCCAGACGGACTCCTAGACAGAAAATGAGTTACCACTTAGTATGTTTTCTGTTTTTGCGCCCTTACTTGATATGTATTGACTGATTTTAACTGATATACGTGGTAGAGCCACGCTACAGCTATATTATGGTTGTAGCATGAATGTGTCGGCTCGACCGGGGAAGGCCCATTCTCTCACAGAATACCAGCGTAAAATAGCAGCTTAATACTGCTGTGTTTCGTCCAGATTAAACTCCTCTATCCAGAATCTCTCGAGAATAAATGTAGATGTCAATGGGCCACAGCATCTACTTACCGTCACGTGGACTGTGTGCTTATTTGTCACCCTTATTCTATAAAAAAAAGATTGTACGTAAAATTCAGTATAAAATTTATACATTTAATGCAGTACGTTATAAAATCTATTGCTGAAAGTATACTGAGACTTAATTGCATAAGTTAGAGCTATATACGTCCCACTGCTGGGCACAGGCATTTATCTTTTGAGAGGGTTTTCTAGTGCAACGAAGTTTCCGCCGCGCTGCCCAATGTGTTCTGGGCGAACTTCACGTGCCTTTGAAAAAATTTTTTATTTTTCACATTGTAGGTTTTCTCACACCTTCACCCTGGCCACAGCACTTAAAATTACAATTTATAACATTTTCATTAGTGCCGGCGAGAATCGAACCAGGGTTGCTCGCGTACTGTGTAACACTTAAGTGCATAACAAAAGCAAACAAAACTTCAAACGGGAGCTTTTACTTTCGAAAGACAGTAAAGTAACAGAGAAGGTATCAGTTACATTGGCTTGATCGTCCAACGGATTACGTAGTGCAATATTAAACAACCTTTCACTTTCATTGTTTTTGAATGACCAACATTCTGAATATTTTACAATAAACTTTTATTGAAATTGCCTTCGTTTACATAACGTATAAATATAAAATATTCATTATTAAAATTAAAATAAATAAAACTAAAAACTTTAAATATCATATAGTGATGTGACATGATATAGTGCCAAGAACGCTGACTGCGTTTCATCGCTGAATAGCCATAATTGTCCTTAGTGCGAGATAAGAACCAGCCAGCCCTTTTATCACCAGTGGTGACAAGTCACGGATATAATTTCTTTAGAATCTTCACCGCATGTAGAATAACATTAAAACATGATATAATGTTGTTATAAATAAAGAAATATTTCTTGAATAGAACTCATGCGTCATACGTCGTAGAGCCACGCTGCAGCTATATTATGATTGTAGCACGAATGTCGGCTCGGCCGGTGAAGGACCACGCTCTCACAGAATACCAACGTAAAAAAGCAGCTTAATACTGCTGTTTCATATAATGAGTGTAGCGATCCGGAGACCCTTTTTTACTGAAAACGAGGCATTCCATCTTAGTCCTCGGGGATGTCAACGCAACTGCGTTTCGATTCTTAATCGAGGATAAATTTAGATGTCTACTACATAGCTACTACGTTTGATTCAAATATTAAAATAGCAAAAGTTAAGAAAATAGAGAATGGGCTTAAAATTTCAATAAAACTTGTGTTACTACACGTTTAACTTTAGTCCACGTTAAAGGCCAATCTGCTGTTGAATTTGTTGTAAAGATATATAGATTGGAATGCGGATTGTTTTTGCTTAAATTTTGTTCTATTTTGCGAATGAATTGCAACACACATATCCACTATGTGTCACATCCAAATAAAACAAGAGTTTTACCGATTTTACTTACATTCTTAATTCAGATGATTTAGGGAAGTCTATAGATTGTGTTATGTCTGCTCAGTGATGTTGTTAGTTCTTTATGTAAAGTTTTTTAAGTTTTCAGTAAGCGAGTGCATACTCTTTTGGAAAATAAAGTTCATAAGCCTCTAGATACTTGCTACTCGTACTTCACTGATTATATAGAGAGTTAAAATGCTCCAATTTCTAAGCGAATTAATTCTTAACTTTCTTTGTGTTAATTCTTCATTGAACATTAGTATGTGGTTCATATTAATCAAATGGCACGGAATCATAATTATGCATTAGTTGTTGTTAACATTAGTTTACGTGCGTTGAATATATTGTCTTTTTAAGCCGATGTATCGCTTTCCAAGAGAAATATCTCTCTAATAATTTGAGACTTCTCTTCATTCACTTAAGTTTTTTGATTAGATAAAGTGTTTATAATTATATTCTGACAGCACTCTGTTAAGAGGCAGATATGACATAACCGTAATAATTTTGCATTTTTAATTAATGATTGAAAAAAGGTAACATAAACATAACATAAACACTCACGCCTGTCACCCAGAGGGGTAGACAGAGACTACAGACTTCCATTTGGCACGATCCTGACACACCTCTCTTGCCTCCTTCACATCCATACACCTACGCATACGTGCTCGTCGGTTAAGGGTATTCCTAATTTGGCCCGTTTTCAATAGATCGCCAATTTGGTCGATAAATTTTCGCCTAGGACGTCCCTTTCCGACTCTGCCATTCACTTCTGCACCATAAATTTTCTTTGTCACTCTTTCCTCATTCATTATTTCCACATGACCAAACCACCGAAGCATTCCTTTCTTAATCCTGGTCACAACATCATCTTGCAAACCACACTCTTCTCTTATTACACAATTTCTTACCCTGTCATTCAGATTCAGCCCTAACATATTCCTTAACGACCGCATTTCTACCGCGTTTATTCTACTCTCGTACTTCTTCTACCAAACCCAACTTTAACTACCATACGTTAAAGTAGGGACCAACACAGCATTGTGAATTGCCATACGTGCTTTTGCGACACATTTTGACTCTGACAATAGAGTGCAAGGCCCCATTTACTCTATTTCCCGCATTCACTCGTCGTAATAAGGTAAGGGTAAGGTTAAGGTAAACTCGTCGAAAAAAGGTAATATAATAAAAAAAACTTTTCATCTCTATCCTTAGGAGTGATGACGCATCTTAATTTTTGATCGCGCATCTCATTCTTATGACCCACTTACCATCATTCGATAAATGGTAGCTGGATGAACTGTGTACTCCATTGTCATCATTATATGTTTAAAAAAAACTAATCCAATCAAAAAGGCCAGCGCAGCTCATGAAAAGTAGCAAAGATTTATTCTCAAATTTAAAACTTAGTATTGTAGATTTATTACAAAGTCACTATAGTCTTCCAACCAAACCACAACATCAAAAATAAAATATAAGGGGATGGTAGGTACCTAACCAGAGTAATTCCTAAGCAATCATTTTATAATTAAATAGAAATAAAACAAAGTTAATTGATCAATGTGCTGTGAAAAAGAACACTCACATTCATACATACATGCATATATAATCATCATCATTACAGCATGTCAAAAGTCCACTAAAAACTTACACTGCAGTTTGCCTCTGTGGCCACTCTTAGCCGGTGGCTTTACAACCGCTGTTTTATATTTCCTAGTTATTATTAGTAAACGCACATCTCCTGGTCTGTACATAGTACACATAGCTGCTGTAATTGTTGCAATCCCCGAGGGGATGTCAGAGTACAAAATGCTGCAAGATAACCAAGCATCGAGAATCTTGCTTCGCCATTGGTGGTCGGTTCTTCGAACTATATGGCCGGCCCATAGCCACCTCGGCTTAAATCCGATGGGTTATGTCAGTTACTCTGGTTCTACTACGAATAACCCCACTTCTAAGTTTATCCACGTGCGTTTATTAGCAGAGAAACCCTAAGCAATCCTTAGGGGAGACATGTTCAGCAGCGGACTTCTGAAGGGCTGTAATGACGGTAATGATTAATTTTGATGAAATCACGTATGATTCCAAAATGATGCCAAACTTCTCCTCAGCAACCTCGTCGTGACGGGATCGTTCGACAAGTCGGCAAGGATCTGGCGCGTGGAGACGGGAGAATGTATATATACGCTTTGGGGACACAGCGCTGAGATTGTCTCTGTCCAGTTCGCCCCTAGAGGCGGTCATGTCGCCACCGCTTCCATGGACCACACGGCGAAACTCTACGATGCTCTTACAGGTAACACTGGACTTCTTTAGGCAAACTGCTACCGCAGCGAAAGCTTAATACTACCGTTGTAGGGCTTGGCAGGCAGTTTGACGACAGCAGTGCCATACGTGTTACACCTTTGACCTTGTTGCCATCGCTAGTATGGAAATTGGTATCTGGCGTACACGATATCGTTACACTGCCATCTGTCGGGTGTCTAACGAAAGCTATAAAACTTTTCTGGCGTTTCCCACGGTCGTCTATTACATAATACATTTTATTCCCTTTTTACTAGAAACGAGGCATTCAATCATAGTCCCCGGGAGTGACAACACATTTAGATTTTGATTCTCAGTCGCGGGTACATGTAGGTGTCTATGCGCCACAGTATCCACTTAAAATCAGGTGGACTGTGTGCTCGTTAGGTACAATTAATGATGAAAAACTTTTTGAAATGCTAATCTCGTGTATGTAAGAATTGCACTTTGGTAAATAACTATCCACACATATGACATCCTTACTCAATTTAAAAAAAATTGAGATTTGATCTTTCAAATATTTCATTTCAACAGGTTCCCAATAAACAATAGAAAATATCATTATCCGTAGGTACGGAGGTACACACGTACACTGGTCACACCGCCGAAGTCATCGCGCTCCAGTTCGATCCCACTGAAGGCCAGCACCTTATCAGTGGATCGTTCGACGGCACGATATGTATGTGGGATACCAGGGTCAAAGAGTGAGTAACATGTTCGCTACATATTTTTTTATAGAATAAGGGGAACAAACAAGCATACAGTCCACCTGATGGTAAGTGGATGCTGTGGCTCATCTACATCAATCTTCGATTAAGAATGAAATTGCAAATGCGTTGCCACCATTTACGACTAAGATGGAATGACTCGTTTTCATTAAAAATGGGCTCCGGTTCTTTACACTCACCATACGAAACTTTTGAGCATTGAGCTACCATTTCACGCTGGTACTCTTTGAGAGCGTGGTCCTACCCCGGTCGCGTCGACCCATTCGTGCTACAACCATAACATAGCTGCAGCGTGGCTCTGCCACGTTAAACAGTAAGCTCTAGAAACCTAAAAACTTTATTTTCTTTATCAATCTCTAGTAGACTCTTGCTTGAAACGGGCCTCTCTTGTTATGAATTATTGCCTTAATCGCGATCGGAAAGCGAAATGGCGATTACAGAATTTGCACCTTTGATATTACTTCCCATCGCCGATCTTTTTTTATAATATAGGGTGGCAAACGACCTCACAGTCCACCTGATGGTAAGTGGTAACTGTGGCCCATAGACATCTATATCTATCCTCGATAACGAATCAAAATGCAGTTGGGTTGTCACCCGTCAGGATTAAGATGGAATGCCTCGTTTCAAGTAAAAAGGGTCTCCGGTTCTCTACACTCACCAAACAAAACACAGCAGCGTTAAGCTGCTATTTGACGCTGGTATTCTGTGAGAGCATGGACCTTCCCCGGTCGAGCCAACCCATTCGTGCTACAACCATAATATAGCTGCAGCGTGACTCTATCACGTATAAAATAATAAAATCTGGATATGTTCCATTCATCCAATACAGCCTTTAGATATCTACTGCTGAATATAATCCATATCCACAGACTGGGTGTAATGTTGGATTTTACCATAGTTGTCACGGTTGACAGGCTGGTTGGTAACCGGTTTTTTTAATAATTTTAAGTTGTTATAAGGGAGGTGCTGCCATCTTCTTTTTCAGTTTCTCTCGCCTCCTACAGAAAAATATTATGGGTTAGTGGGTATTATTACATCACCACTATACTGTTAATATGTTACGTCGTGAATTGGTTATCTCTTTGGTATAGTGATTGTAAGCCCGATTGCTGATAATATGGTCTTGAGTTCATAGTTTAAATCGGATTATAATTAATATTGGATTTTTGTCAATAAATTCTCAGTATCAGCCCAGGGTCAGGAAATTGGCAGTCCTGCACCTTATATCTCTTGTTGTGTCGGATTTCCGCCCGATCGGACTATGAGAGTTAGGGAACACAGAGCACTAGGTATTTGCGCAAACACTCGTGCACTATAATACTATGCTGTGCAGATAACTGCCGCGATCCAAATTCTGTCTGGAAGATTAAAAAGAATGGTTATATCGGCATCTGCCGGAAGCCATGATCCGATCCAATTATGCAATTGGCTCACCAGCTTTCTTGCAGATCGGAGCATCAAGGTCGTTGTAGACGGTGCAAGTTCCGATTACAAGCCTATTAATGCTGGTGTTCCACAAGGCTGCGTGCTATCAACAACGCTGTTTCTTCTGCATATCAATGATATGTTGCAAACCGGTAACATTCATTGCTATGCAGACTACAGCACTGGTGATGCTCTGTACACCGGCCGTGCCAATATTTCTCGGGAAAACGTCTCCGAGTACCGGGACAAACTTGTGTCTGAAGTCGAGTCTTTGCTGAACAGAGTCTCGGATTGGGGGTGACTAAATCTAGTCCAGTTTAACCCTCAGAAGACACAAGTTTGCGCGTTAACCGCTGAAAAGAACCCCTTTGTCGTATCTCCTCAATTTCAAGGCACTCCCCTTGTTGCCTCAGCCAGTATCGGAATCCTCGCCGTCGACATATCGAGTGACGTGCAGTTTCGTGGTCAATTGGAAGAGAAGGCTAAATTGGCCTGAAAAAAGCTTGGCGTGCTCAGCAGAGCGGGACAGTACCTATTTCATGCCGGCACACAGCCTGCAACTTTACAAGGCGCAGGTCCGGCCGCACATGGAATACTGTTCCCATCTCTGGGCTGGAGCTCTCCAGTAGCAGCTCCTTCCACTTGACCGCATCCAGCGAAGAGCGGCTCGAATCGTCGACGACCGAGTGGTTTCCGATCGGCTCGATTCACTGGCGCTGCGAAGAGATGTTGCATCTCTTTGCATTTTCTTTCGCATATACCATGTGGAGTGCTCTGAGGAATTGTTCGGATTAATCCCAGCCGCCATATTTCGTGAACGCACTACTCGGCAAACGTCCCGATACCATCCACGCCATCTGGATGCCTGGCGGTCCACCACTGTATATTTCACAAGGAGTTTTCTTCCACGTACGATCTCTCTGTGGAATAGTTTACCACCAGCGATTTTTCCAGACCAATACGACCTGGGGACCTTCAAGAAAAGAGCTTACTCCTTTCTAAAGGGCCGGCAACTCACCTGCAATTCCCCTGGCGTTGCGGTCAATCATGGGCGGCGGTAGTCACTTAACATCAGGTGAGCCGCATGCTCATTTGCCTCCTCTTCTATAAAAAAAGCCATAAGGTTTCTGGCGGTTCCCATATTTCGTTTTCAGTAAATATAATTTACAAAAAATGTTTAAGCAGTTTTGCTCATATTAAAACGGCAGGCGTTATAATAATAGATGAATAAAGGAAAATATAAATAATAAAAATACTATTTTATTGCACACTTACAAAAACTAAAATTTACAGTTGTACAATGTGCGACCTTATAATGTGTTCCTTAGATGCGTTGCAGTTCTGTCTGGTCACACGGCAGAAATATCTAACGCCCAGTACAACTGGGACAGCTCGCTGGTGGGTTCAGCTTCGTTGGACGGCAGCGCGAAGCTCTGGGACACGCGAGAACGCACCTGCATCGCCACTGTAACGGCAGCCACAGCCGAGGTTAGCGTCATTTATTGATTTTTTTATAAAATAAGGATGACAAATGAGTACACAGTCCACCTGATGGTAACTGTATGCTGAGGCCCATAGACATCTACATCTCTGCTCGATTAAGAATCAAAATGCAGATGCGTTGTCACCTCTGAGGACTAAGATGAGGGTCTCCGGTTCTTTACACTTATCACACTAAACACAGCAGGTGCTATTTTACGCTGGTATTCGGTGAGAGCGTGTGACAATGCATCTGGAGAGTCTATTATTTAAATTAGTTGCATGTGTCTGTAGAGTGTCGTAGACACTTACCACATGTGAACTGCTACTGCGTTTGTCACTTGAACTTTGTAATAAAGAAAAACTAATTTTACAGATTTTATTATCATCATAATCATCATCATTGCCGGCCTTCTTGGGTCCACTGCTGAACATAAGCTTCCACCAAAGAATGCCACCAAAGAAAATCACCATCCTTAACCACCTGCATCTGCAACATCCATTGACTTCCTGCATGTCTTACTGGGTCGTCACTCCAACTAGTGTAGGACCGCACTCTCAGTACGAGGCTGCTACTCGAGATTTCCCCATTAGTTATTGTTTCTTTGAGCTATATGGTCGGCCTCACGCCACTGCAGCTTACTTAAACGTTGGGCTAACGCAGCACTAATGGGTCGGCTCGACCGGCGAAGGACCATGCTCTCACAGAACACCAGCGTTAAACGGTAGCTTAATGCTGCTGTGTTTCATATGGTGAGTGTAGAGAACCGGAGACCCTTTTTAGTGGAAACGAGGCATTCCAACTTAGTGATTTCTTATATTTACGCGAACACTACACATTGAAATAATACTAGCTTTTACAGAATTATTCGCGTATATTTAACTTTTTTACCCGACGTTTCGAGAGCTTTACACCACCCATGGTCACGGGAAGGACTGAGATGTTCAACGTCCAGCTGTCATAGTTAACCGCGGTTACCATAGATTAAAATTTAACTTTTGTTCCGATCTACACAGTATGAACTTATGGTATCATGGAGTCTTGCAGTTGTATGCTTGGGTTGGGATTTAATTTTATTTATTATTGGATCCCAAGCAGATGGTAGCACCCAGCCATCTTCTCTATTGAAATTAGGATGTTTTTTGATTTCAATAGCCTCGCGAATCATCCTTGGAAGGAATCGGTGTTCTTTAGCGAGGATTTGTGGTCTATCAAACCTGATGTAGTGACGGGGGCGATCCTGTACATGTTCACAGACTGCAGACTTCCCGGAGCGTCGATTCTTCACATCAGCTATATGTTCTTTGACGCGGGTTTTAATTGATCTTTTAGTTTGTCCTATGTAGGAGAGACCACATTCACAATCAAGCTTGTACACTCCTGCATCTTGCAGAGGGACGTTACACTTGACTGATGGTAAAAACTGACCAATCTTCTTCGGCGGCTTGAAGTATGTTTTGATGGAAGCGCGCTTCAAGATGTAGCCAATCTTGTCAGTGACTCCTCTAACATATGGCAGTACAGCAGGTACACGCTCGACTGTGGCCGGCTTCACTCGTTCTCTGTGACGTAGGCGCGGGACCCGAAGCTTGTTGTCATGCAAAACTTGCTTGACATGTTGGAGCTCGGCAGCCAGGTGTTTACTGTCACAGATCCCTCGTGCTCTCTGAAACAAAGATTTACCCACGGTAGCTAACTGTGAAGGATGGTGGTGAGAATCACCGTTTAAATATCTATCTGTATGGGTCTTTTTTCTATACACAGTATGGCTCAAGGTGTTATCAGGATTCCGAATTACTAACACATCTAGAAAAGCTAAGGAATTGTTTGCCTCTAACTCCATTGTGAACTGAATTTTAGTATTTATAGAGTTAAGATGGTCTAAAAATCATACTGTGTAGATCGGAACAAAAAGTTAAATTTTAATCTATGGTAACCGCGGTTAACTATGACAGCTGGACGTTGAACATCTCAGTCCTTCCCGTGACCACGGGTGCTGTAAAGCTCTCGAAACGTCGGGTAAAAAAGTTAAATATACGCGATAAATTCCGTAAAAATTAGTATTATTTCAATTCGAACTTAGTCCTCACGGGTGACATCGCATTTGCATTTTGGTTCGTAATCAAGGATAGATGTACATGTCTATGGGCCACAGCAACCACTTACCATCAGTTGGACTGTGTGCTCGTTTGTCACCCTATCCTATAAAAAAATCTCCGTGTATAGCCGGGCGTAGCTTATAGGACGTTGGATCATTTTTACAATAATAGTCTATGATTGCCTCATTGGTCCAGCGGTTGCTAATAATGGGGTCCTGGGTTCGAACCCGGGTTGTGCCTAAATTACTTATTGGGTTTTTCTGTTAAGAAATTCTTAGTAGCAGCCTGGAATAAAGAAGTTGGCGGTTATTCAATGCCTCGGAAGGTACGTAAAGCCGTAGTTCCTGCGCCTAATCTCTCTCTGATTCTCTAAAAAAAATTTAAATACCTCTTTCTGGTTCTTCTCAAGACGGAGGTTTTTTTCCAACCAGTGTTATAACTGAAATAACATTCAATAAGTATTCTAAAATTCTATTCTACTCGGTTCCATTTCTATAGGTGTTGGACGTGTGCTTTGACTGGGCGGGGCGCCGGCTTGCCACGGCTGGCAGCGATGGCACCGCGCGGGTGTATGAAGCTCGCGTCGACTGCAGAGAGCTGGCCACCATGCAAGGACATCGGGAAGAAGTCTCTAAGGTTAAATCACTAAAGTAATATATTCTGTGCACTATATATTATATGCTGCAAATCGCATTTCGGTAAAGGCGGCCAGTCTCAACATAGACCAGCCATTTGCGCAGGACAGGATTATAGTGCACGAGTGTACACGCAAGCACAGATGCGACGGGACGACCGATGGGACGGCAATCCAACACGATCGGAAAGAGTCAGGCGCAGGACCAACGGCTTTACGTGCTTTCGGAGGCACGGGGGTGAGACACCGCCAACTTCCTGACTCTGTGCAGCTACTGAGAATTTCTCGACAGAGAAACCCAATAACTGGTTTTGACCCGACCCAGAATTCAAAACCGGAACCTCATAATTGGCAATCGCGGTTATGACTATAGAACAGATACCGCGAATATGTCTGTGCAGCAGTGCGGACCACAGTTTATCTTTATTGCAGACTGAGTAAGTTTAAACCCATGGGCTCTAACGCGTGCTGCAAACGACCTACTAGTGCGACTCTTCTAGTACGTAGCACTATGTATGTATTATTTCAATAAGTTAAACAAACTATTTTTTATCTAGTACTTTATACCTTTTCACTTTTCAATGTGTAACAAACTACTTTTTCTACGTGTAGGAGCTGTGCTACATCTGTATCATGTAAGCACGAATGGGTCACTTTTTTTTACTATTATTATAGCCGGTACTTGACCGTTACCCCATCTGATGGTGAGTGGTGATGCAGCCGGAGGTGGTAAAGCGCACTGACTTAGCTCAACAAAAGCCTAATCATTCTCGCCTTGAAAACACCCACATATAATCGTATAGAAAGAAAAATTAAACCGGGAAAAGACTATGCTAACACAGAATCAGCATGAAATAGCACCATATTTCTGCTATGTTTGGTGTAGTGAGTGTAGAGAACCGAAGACCCTTTTTACTGAAAACGAGGCATTATCTTAGTCCTCAGGAGTGACATCACATTTGATTTTGATTCTTAATCGAGGATAGATGTAAATATCTATCAGCGACAGCACCCACTTACCATCAGGTGGACTATGTGGTGCATGCTGGTTAATCATTCTTATTATATATATATATATATATATATATATATATATATAAAATATTATTCTATAAAAAAATTATTGAACTGCATAAAAAAATATCATACTAAAAAATTACAGTACAATGTAATAAAATGTTTAAAACTTGTATACTATAATCAGTGGATGCGTTTATAAGGGTCGGCCCACACGTACCACAACCAAACCACATCGCAGCGACAAAATGTGGTCACGTGTGAAGTGTCGCTGCAGCTTTTTGCAGTTGCATTGTGGTTGCGTTGCCACCCAAGTCGTGGCGTCGACGCAATGTTGTGTTTGCGATGTGGCCGGCCGCTAGTTCCGTGTGGTTGCGTAGTGGTTGCGTCGTGGTTTTCAGATATACAAAAAATATCCTGTGGTCATGGTTGCGTTGTAGTCGGTATCGCTCACGCAGTCGATAATGACAGCAAAATGTTATACATGTAAATTGAAGTATTCATTTCCGATACAAAATTCGCCCACCCATGTGTTGTGGTTGTGGTTGTGGTTGTAGTACGTGTGGGTAGCCGTTAATTGCAGACATGGAAACGGACTATAGATTTTAATTTAAAATATCTGACTTACCCTCAAGTCCTCTTTTAAATAGAAGTGACAAATGAACTTACAGTCCACCTGATGGTAAGTCACTATTGCATCCATAGAATACTATAATACATACATAATAGAACGGGGGAGTGGGTGGAACCCGTGTAGCCACTAAAATGTCACTAACACGTCAATTCACACGTATAAACGTCAATACGAGATGTGTTTTGACGTTACAATCATATCCAAATTTCCCATGCAAATTATATAGAAAATGCCAAATTGCACGCTATTTACAAATAAATATGTATTATATATAATAAATATGTATTAAAATCTGTGTGTCAACACAGCGAATCGGGTTTGTTTGTGATAATACGACGTTATTGCTTGTATGTGTGCTCCCGGCGACGCCTATCGTCGTATAAAATAAGGTTGACAGCCATTCTATTGTGTATTATAGTATTCTATGATTGCATCCCATGGAACCCGACAACCAACTTTAAACAAAGAAAGCTACAGATGCGTTGTGACTTCTGAGAACTATGATGAAATGCCTCACAGCCCGTTACTATACTGGCTTTCAGTACACTTCAGACCGGAACACAGCAGTGCACTGTTATTTGGCGACAAAAACAGGTATAAAGATAGCTACCCAGACGATGTCATAGACAGGAAAAGAGTCGTCTAAAAGTCGCGCCTAAGGAAGTTTTACTGCAAAAACAAAGGCTCTCATCTATAAGTTGTTGATGCGGTAATGCTGCTTTTTACTGTCAGCCTCTTCCGTTGCAGGGACGATTTGGCAAAAACACCTCGCTAGGGCTATCGATCACTCTACCACTCTTGAACCTTTAACACTGCTCTCCATCACCGGTCTTCGTTTTTTACGTCTGGCGTAAACGGACACGGAAGGAGCTGTGGTCACATCTGTCGGAGAAGTGACAACCGGTGGAGTAGCCATAACATACACGTGTATGAGAGCAAAAACTTGTAAAATATAAATAGATAAATAGCTACGAATCTTTGAGTATTTAAACTTTATTTTTGTGCATAACCATTAAAATAAAACATGAAAACATTAAGGGTAAAGCTTAGAAATAATTTGTATCAATATAAATTATTAATACACAATAACAAAATATTCAAAATTAAAGTAAATCGGGTTAAAAACGTAATTTGATGTTATTTTGGTATAATCAGCTTAAAAAAAGTTTCGCAGCCGGTAGGATTCGAACCTACGCTCCCAGAGGGAATCTGATTTCGAGTCAGACGCCTTAACCACTCGGCCACGACTGCCTGTACAGTTCAAGGCTTTAATTTCTCATATGTATGGCCTGAGTGCAAAATATTAAGCTAATTAACTAAAAACAGCAAAAATATGTATTTACGAAATTAAATAAAAGCTACGTTTTAGGAAAAAAAAATTCAAAAATATTTTTTAAAGTGACTGCTAGGCTTGCAGCTCACTTGATGGTTAGTGATCACCGCCTCCCACGAACAGATGCAAAACCGCAAGTACGTTGCCGAAATGATGAGTAGGTTCATTGTTTGAAGATCTCTAAGTCGTATCAATTCGGAAAAACCGCTGTGTGACATGTGGCAAATAATTCCATGTAAAATGCACGGTAGTGGACTGCCAACCTTCGAGATGATGTGGATAGAATTGAGAGTTATGCAGCAGTGTAATATGGTGGGTCCTAAATTAATTGGTGCTCAATACCTACTCAAGGACTCAAGGGTACCTACCATACAGCTCTCGTACATCTAATAAATTATTTCATGAAAATTTGCTTATAGCTTAATATAGTGTTTATAAACGTTACGTGGTAGAGCCATGCTGCTATTATGGTTGTAGTAGAAATAGTTCGGCTCAACCGGGCAAGAAACACGCTCTCATAGAATAACAATTGAATTCTCCTATGTTTTGTATGGTGAGTGTAGAGAACAAGGGTCTCACCCTTGAAAAACAAAGCATTCCGTTTTAGTCCTCAGGTGTAACAGCGCATCTGCATTTTGATTCTTAATCGAGGATAAATGTAAATGTCTATAGGCCACAGCATCCACTTAGCACCAGGTGGAACTGTGTGCTCGTTTGTCGTCCTTATTCTTTAAAAAATATCTATTACAGTTTAACGCTTCATTAAAAGTGACGGTTAATCAACAATCACACATAAGTTGTAAACATAATAAACCGAGTCGTTTTTGCAGTAACCTCTCTCCCTTCCACTTTTCATTTATAGTCAATGATCTATCGCCTTTAGTCCGTCTTTTAGTGCAAAAATCTTTATCCATTGTTATTATAGTGCATCCTACCCGTTAATCTTTCTCCTTCTTTTATTTAATTTTGGATTGCCTGAATGAAATTGCTATATATATATTAGTCTATATCACAAGGAAATAATGAAAGGAGACATGCCGCTTTCTATGAAAAAGAACATAATGGATAGTTGTCTAACGTATGGTTCGCAAACTTGGGTATACACAAAACAGGCAAAAAAAATATCAGAATATGTCAAGCTGCTATGGAACGATCTATCCTAGGATTCCGAAGGAGAGATAAAGTACGCCACACAAACATAAGAGAAAAAACATACCAAATTGATTTCTTAATCTAGCTAAAATAGAGGATGCTCGATTGAAGCGTTGAGTCGTGGTATGGAAAGGGCCCAAGGGTATAAGAAAACGAGGGAGGCCACGTAGAAGGTGGATTGACGACATCAAAGACATAACAGGAGATGATTGGCAAAGAAAGGCGAAAGATAAAAACAAGGCTCAAAAATGGAGGAGGCCTTTACCCTGCGATAGGGATCTATTAAATTAACTGAAACTAATATTTTCTTTATTTTAATTTAATAGTGATAATGTGTAAATAATCAAATTATATAATGAAAAATACATTTTTAAATTATATTAAACATTAAAAATTACAAATTCAAATTAATTATGTAACTAAATATGTAATGATTTCTTATATTTACGCGAACACTATACATTGATTAAAGCTACTTTTTAATTAACTAAATATGAATTAATTACGAAAATGATTTGTTAATATGTTATGATTTGTTAATGTGTTATGATTTGTTTATTATTGTTGCATGTAAACATAGCATAAAAAATGAGAAATAAAAGGCTTATTTATTTATTTATTTATTATTATAGTGCACCCTACCCGTTAATCTTTCTCCTTCTTTTATTTAATTTTGGATTGGCTGAATGAAATTGCTATATATATATTAGTCTGAAAAAAAAAGCCCTGAGGACTAAGATGGAATAGTTAAAGGGTCCCCGATACTCATCATACGAAACACATCAAGCATTTAGCTGCTATTATACATTTCTGTGAGAGCGTGATCCGTTCCCGGTCGAACCGACTCATTCGTCCTACAACCATGATGTGACTGCAGCGTGGCTCTAGTATATATGTATAAAAACAATTTTCGAGTGTATGTCTTTCATTTGTAGCTGAATCTTGATGGATTTTAACATGTGAAGTGACATGAGTATAAAAAAATTCTCTCTTGAGTTTTTTGAGTAAACCTTTTACGCAGTTGGATTTTTTCAATTACCATTCGGATTGTTTATGAGCAAATTTTAAAAGTATTAACTTATGTAACTTACGTTCTTGGTTAAGGTTTTATATAACATCGTATTCCTGTCCATAATATAAGTCACACTTCTACTCATGACGTCTATGTTGAGATATCTTATTATATGTTCACGTCATCTGCGGTATTATGTATTACATATTGCATCATCGATTTTAAAAGATCGATATTTGATTCTAAGCATCGATGGTTATCGTTTCATTATTATCGTTACATCCCTTCACAAGTCCATTGCTGAATACGCGCATCCATAAAGGAAAGACACAAAACGTAGTAGTACTTTTTTGTATAATACAGGTGACAAACGAGCACACAGTCCACCTAATGGTAAGTAGGTAGATGCTGTGACCCATAGACATCTAGATTATATCCTCGATTAAGAATCAAAACGCAGATACGTTGTCACACCTGAGGACTAAGATGGGATGCCTCGTTTTCAGTAAAAAGGGTCTCTAGATCTCTACACTAACCATACGAAATACAGCAGTATAGTACTTTGGTGTTTACTCTGTTTCATCAGGTCGTCGCTTCATCTAGTAGAGGGCCGCAATACACATTGCTTGCCAGTACGAGGCTGCCACTCGGAAGCATTTCTTCCCCATTAGTTGTCGGCTCTACAAGCTATATAATATACAGTATAATCTTATATTTGCTGACTCGTTGATCTAGAGCTCCTAAACATGGCTGCTGATCATAAGGACCCGGGCTGGAATCCCGGGTCGGGCCGAAAATTTCGGATCAGTAAGAGTATTACCACACCAATCGATTGACGTAGACAAATGGCGTCGATCGATTAGTGTGGTAACATCCTAATCGAGTTCTTTCAAGAAATTCAGAGTAGCAGCCCGGAGACGGGAAGTTTGCACTTTCTCATTCTTTTGTCTTGGAAAGCATGTAAGCCGTTGGCCCTGCGTCCTGTCCCATCGATTCGATTATCAATCCATTTGCTAAGCGTAACGAGAGGAAACCTATGTCTAGCAGAGGACTTCTATTGGCTGGTGATCATGAAGATTAAGAGTGGAGTTTACAAATTATTATGTCATAATACCATAGTTAAAAGTCATAATACCATTTTAAAAGCACAAGAATCCATTTTGAGATACCTTGTACTGGGAAATAAAGGTGCTTATAAACAGTAACGTTAACATTTTTGTCCAGCATTACTACAATATTTGATAATATTTCAACTTATGCAACTAACTTGATAGTGTAAGTAAGTTGCATAAATTGACTGAAAATATAATGATGAAACTTTTAACAAATTATTAATAGAACCTGGCAACACTTTGCGGAAATCCATATTGTTAAAGATAATAAAAATTTGTTAGCTAAGATCCCCTTAATAAAATAATGTGTCTCACCTAGTTTTATGGTCACCTCCCGCCCTCCCTCCATTGCGCGTACTATCTTCGCTACCATTAATCCCAATACTATTACTCCTAATACCACTATATTGAGAAAGTCACACCACTGTCGATTATACGATACGTGCTTCACCTTTTAAAGTAGCATCAACAGATGAAATGGACTCTACGATGGCTGACCGCTAAGTAAGTTAATCTTTTTTTTACAGAATGTTAGGTGGAGTGTGTAATCGTTGACAAACGAGTACACACTACACCTGATTGTAAGTAGATGCTCTGTCCCATAAACATCTACATTTATCCTCAATTAAGAATCAAAATGCAGATGCGTTATCACCCCTGAGCACTGAGATGGAATGCCCCGTTTCTAGTAAAAAGGGTCTCCGGTTTTCTACACTTACCATACCAAACACAGCGGCAATAAGTCCTGTGAGAGCGTGGTTCTACCCCGGTCCAGCCGACCAATTTGTGCTACAACCAAACACAACCGCAGAGTAAGTTTTAACGGTTAGCCACCGCAGTCTTTTTTATAAATAGATATACATATTCAATTATCGGATTTGTTGATATCCAGGTCTGCTTCAGTCCAGCTGGTGGGTGTCTGCTGACCGCTTCCGCTGACAAGACAGCGAGAATCTGGAACGCTTCTACTGGTAACTGCATACAAGTGAGTATTAAGATTGTACCTCCTAACAGCGTGGCTATACCACCTTGTTAAAAATGGTTTATTGTTAAATCCTAATGGTTTTCTTCAGTCTAACAGCAGCTAAATACTGCTATGTATCGTATGGTGAGAGTTAAGAGAACCAATAACACTTTTTACTGATATTATCATAAATTACATGCTTTTATTCCTCTCTCACCTTTCCACCAATCATGTGGTGGTGCGATGCAACTTCTTTGTGTCGATATTCCAAGCAATATCACCCAACGGTTTGCTTCAACTTTCGCAATGCGTATAGCAAACGAGTGTTATAACTTTCTGGCACCTCTTTCCCTCCGAATACAATCTGAGCGTCTTCAAGACAAGAGTGAATAGGCATTTGCTACGCTAAGATAATGCGATTTATCATCTTTGGCTTCATCACCATTTACCACCAGGTGGTGTTGTGCTCTAGCACTGGCTTATAATAAGTAAAAAAGCGAGGTAAGTTATACTGTCTTAGTCCTTAGGGGTAACAAATCATCAGTGTTGCCACCTTGGTGATTTTGTCACTAGATCTGGTGATTTTAAGAGCTCTTAGCGATATTTTTATCGTTTAGCGACTATTTAGTTTTTGACGATTTTTGGCGATTTTTCAATTCGGAATTTGGCAGCACTGATTTGAGACGGAAACCGTTCTCTTTCTAGGCTTAGTCTATGGTCGGAGAATCCCAGACGCTGTCATTTTATAGTTATTGGCATTAATGTTTTAGCATTCTTAAAAGTGTCGTCGTAGTCGATTAAAGTGGGTAGGAAATTGCACATTATCAATGAAATAACAGTAAAGAAATTAGTTAAAGAGTGTGTCCATTCTATCGTATCCATCGTACAGTGACGGGACCATGTTTTGGCGTTACATACAAGTAGAATTTTCGAAAAATCAAAGTGTCTGTTTTCCTTATTTTTTAGATTCTTATTTGAAAGCATCTTTTAACATTACATATTTATCGGTGTGCCGATGGAATGATAAAACGTACAAAAATTGACTTATTTTTTCCATGTATGGAAAAAACATATTCAAACCCGATTTGCTCCAATATATGAAAAAACCTGTAGGTGAAAAATCCTACTTTCTAACTTTTTTTTATTTCATTTATGTAATACATGTAAACTACTTAATTTTAATTTAAAAAAAATAGCGAGATCTGGTGGTATTTTCAATCGAAATATCCAAAATATGGCGACATTTTACTCTGGATCTAGTGATAAGATAATTTTTGAGGTGGCAACTCTGCAAATCATCTACATTTTGATTCTTAATCAAGGTTCGGCCACATAATAATGTGCAAATATCATCCCTAAAAAAGTATTATAACAGGCGGGTCTGTTGACTGCGTTCTCTAACATGACTACGAACACCCAGAGCCTGTTTTTATGTTATGTCCTATGTACTAAACAATAAATATAATTTTCATAACCCTTAGGTGCTGTCTGGTCACCAGGGCGAAATATTTTCATGCGCGTTCTCTTACGCGGGTGACACCATCGTCACCGCGTCTAAGGACAACACCTGCAGAATCTGGAGATGACTTGACTGGTGGTTGCCACTGCAGAGAGATTTAAAACTAAATTTTTAATACGTTTTAATTTGAACATTTACTCTTTTTAATTTTAAAATAAAAAGATCATATGAGTAGTGCATAAGTTTATCTACAGTCAAAACTTTCGCCTTTGCATATCATTTGTACTTAGGGAAGGTGTGTATGAAAGAGCCAGTTTTAAAACCTTTCTTTTATTACGCGTAATTATAAATGCTCTTATTTAGTTCTTTGTTTTTTAGGGAAATTAAATTATTATTTAAAAAGGAAGTTGAATTCGGCCTTTTCATAACCCGGCTCTTCAATACACACCTTCCCTCTTTATGCGGTGGTAATAAGACTATATAGAACCTTTCTTCCCCATTAGTCGTTTCATCGAGCTAGGGCCGACCATTGACCCATTGGCACTTTAGCTAACTGATCCAGCTTTACTCGCATGTAATTTTAGTAAAAGTTAAATTATTCCAATATTTTTTTCCAATTTACGTACTTTTAACAAAGAAAAGTTATATCTACCTACAAAAAATACTGGCTTTATACTAAACCACTACTAATTTTATTTTTAAATATTATAATAAAATAAACATTTTTTGCATTTTAAGAATACAATGATACCATTGATAACTTAAATTGAAAATTTTTAAAACACCCTAAACAAAAAGAACTGATAATGTTCAAACATGCGTGCAGCTCACACGCGACAGAAGTGAAACCTTCAAATGAAATGAAATATAAAATACAAATACGTTAAATTATTTATTTAATATTATAATTTAAACTACAATTTCAGCATAAAATATAAGTAAATTTAATTTTATAGTAAATAAATGTAACAATCCTTTTAATATATATTATATTAGACACAGATATTATATTACTCTTTTCGATATACCTTATATAGTACTCACTAATTACAAAAAGATTTATATCAATTTTACCTATTACGAAGTTGAGGTTTGGCCGTTCTTCATTTGTTAAATCCATAGTAAGTAGTACCACTTTTTATTAAACTATGGTAGTACTATTATTTATTCTGTATATATATATATGTAGTATATAGGCACACGACACCTTTGTATCTTGTTGAACAAAACGCGTAAGCGACGCTGTTTTGATGGCGTTTACGACTTTTTTCTCGCGAGCATTGAGCTATAATCTATAATGCTTCCTATCTCATTTTCTCCCACATTAAATCTTATGAATTTACGTGTCTCTTTTTACTGTCGCTTTTTCGTTTCATAGATTTTCAAATCACAACGATGCTAATTAAGTTTTCACTTCAAAAACTAAATCTAAATCGGCTGATCCGTTTGTGAGCTACGAAGCCACCGACAGATACATAGATACGTTAAACATATAACACGAGGGGTGTTGCTTGCATCGGGGGCTAAAAACACAAAAAACCGCATATCAGGCACTCTATGGGGGAGAGGCGTATGTTCAGAAGTGGATTTATATGGACTATAATGATTTAATGGTACATTGTAGGCCTCTTTAAGCATACTTGATAATGTATCCGAAAAAGAGATCCACAACATTCACAACCTTTTGGCAAAAAGAGGAAAAGAATTAAACAAGTGGGACCAAATAAGTTGGTTGGTATGATCGATGGGTTGAGATAAAGGGCTGTTGAGGAGAGACTCGAGACAGCTTATACGTGGTAGAGCCATGCTGCAGTTATATTAGTAGTATAGTTGTAGCAAGAATGCGTCGGGTCGACCGGGGAAGGACCACGCTCTCACAAAATACCAGCATAAAATAGTAGCTTATTGCTGCTGTGTTTCGTATGGTGAGTGTAGAGAACTCGAGACCCTTTTTACTGGAAACGAGGTATTCCATCTTAGTCCTCAGGGATGACAACGCATCTGCATTTTGATTCGTAATCGACGATAGATGTAGGTGTCTATGACCCACAGCAACCACTTACCATCAGATGGACTGTGTGCTTGTTTGTCAACCTATCCTATAAAATAAAAATAAATAAAATAAGTACCGTGCTTCGTATGGTGAGTGTAGAGAACCGGAGACCGTTTGTGGAAATAAGGCATTTCGTCAGTCCTCGGGCGTGACAATGCATATTATCATTCTTAATCCAGGATTTACGTAGATATCTATTGCCTAAATACTCAAATGCTACTCCATTTGAACCAAACGTGACACAACGAGACTAACGACGACTTATTCACGATCTTAAAATTGAGTAGCATTTTAGTAATTAGCCATATGGGAATCCCAGTATCCACTTTTTTCTTTACTCATGTGTCGCGAGGATGCTTTTATATATCGTGTCAAGTAGGTAATTAAATAAGAAAAAATACAGGAGGCGCAGACAACAGCAGAGTAACAATACCTGGAGGTGAAGATTTTGGCCTCTGTTGACCGCCGGCTTCACATATCAGCTTATCGTTCGACGTTAGAAACAATGATTACAAAATGCAAACGCTGGACCTGCACAATTGCAGTCACTTCATAGACCGTCCCCGGCAACGGTGTTGCCCGTACCAGATTAAATAGTTTGCTAATTTTTTTAGCTAATATATGGAACTAGTACTATAGTAGATAAGAAACTTTATACAACAATAATGTTTTTATATTAAATATGATATAATGTTTGTTTTTCGGATAAATCATTGCGGTATCTATTTCCTTCTTTTGGGTCAAGGTAGTTTTTTACATATTATTGTACATATCTCATTACTCTTATATTATTTATATACTTACCGTGGAACATTATTGTAGAATTTTTCTGATTTATTAATAATGATAAATAAATTTCGTGTACTTAATAATAACAGTGCTCCGACTATGCGCCGGAGTCGCGGGCACATCCTGGTGGGGGACGGGAACTGAGGTCAAAATAAAATGTACTCCGATAACCGATCCACGTAGCTTCGCGTAGACAAGTGTTAAGGATCGAATACATATTTTATTAATTTTATTTAAAAAAAATAGATTAGTTTGAGAGACTAAAACAGACTTTAGGTAATTATGTCTTAGCACCTGACGTCGCATTCGTTTGTAATATTGTTTTTTTACTGCGCTATAACGCATTGGGCAAGCGGCTCTACTGACCGCGGATTCTATTTACGCGCAGGAAAACTATTATATTTATTCATGCATTACGTAGTTGCCACCATGCATTTATGACACGCACGATTCACGATCACACTACGCAGATATTTGCCATAGAAGCCTCGTTTAGCATGCTGGTTGGCAGCCGCAGATTTTATTTTATAGTAATTATGAAGACGCTGCCCCTAACATCTTTTTCATTTCCTTTTGTCACTCGTACGACACCCACGGAATAATAATAATTAAATATGATACGTGTATATTGGAATAATTTTTACCGATCTGGTTGTTTGTCCTTGTGCGATTTATGTATGTTGTTTGAGAAAAAGCTTTTTAAAATGAAGGAATTTTGTGCACGATTATCCACATTATTTAAACGAGTTGGCACATTACCGGCTTCGTCAGATTGCTCATTATCACCCAACGCGCCGACGCGAAGGGACGTCAGTGATGGTCAGTGTGATTGTGAGAACAATGTTACAATACGCCCATACATACTACTGCATATTAGTGCTACTAGTTGGTACCGCTGTGGCCGACTACAAATATGAAACAAAGTTGTTTAATGTGCCATTGGATCATTTTGGTTATCAGCGCAATGAAACTTTTAATATCAAATATCTTGAGAACGAAGATCACTGGGACAGAGGAGATGGACCGATCTTTTTCTACACCGGTAATGAGGTAAGAACTTTCTATTTTAAAAGCACAATAAGCCATCTTGAAATTTTTAACTGAAACTACAATTGTTGCGGTCCAAAAAGTCATTCTTGTTTTATAAAACTGAAATACCACATGAACCAATATATACACCTGGTATAGTCCACCTGATGGTAGATGCCTACTGCAGCTCATGGCTACCTGCAACCAACTTTAAACAAACTAGGCTAAAGATGCGTTGTAACCTCTCAGGACTAAGACGGAATATCTCAAAGCGTGTTATTGCACTGGTTCTCTAATCTTCAGACCGGAACACTCTAGTGCTAACACTACTATTTGACCACAGAAATAGGTAAGAGGATGATACCTAAACAGATAAACTCAAAGGCAGAAAGGAAGGCCATATAGTTCGAAGTACCAACAACCGAAGAAAAAGTTTCAAGTGGCAGCCTCGTACCGTTAGCAAAGTTTAGGCCCACCACTAGATGTTGCGATGATCTCCTAAAGATGCAGGATGTCGATGGATTTAGGTGGCTGGCTGAGCCGCATGTTGTGACATTCCTTGAAGAAGGCTTATGTTTAGCTGTAGACTTGTGAAGGGCTGTAATGATGATATGATTAATAGCGGATAGTGTAGTTCGGTGATAGAGATGGTTTAGTAACATTCCTAGTGGTTAAGCGTTTAGTTGAGGCGCTGCCAGCTGCAGGTTCGAATTTCGGATGGTACTAGTGATTGTACCTATTTGTGTTCTGTTACAAATGTTTCGTTACAAATAATTATTCTGGATCTGGATTTAGGTCCATGTGCTGTTTATGTAGATATAATAAAACGTCTCAAAGATACAGGTACAAGTACTTTTAAACACTAGAATTATCTCTTGTAACGTGGAGGCAGTTTACATACATAAATTGCACAATAAGATTCGCAACCACAGTTCTTAGTTACGCAACTTAATGCTAAGCTTTACTAGAGCTGTGGTACATGCGATAGAAGATGCTCTTACAGAAGATATCTCTCTAGATAAAACATCTCTACACAAGACCAATGGATCAAGCCGATCGGAAAAACCTTATTCGTCCACGATACGACTACGAATGCGGTCAAGTGGAAGGAGCTGGTACTAGGATGTCCCGCCCCACAGATGAGAACAGTATTCTAAGTGAGACCAATTCTCCGCTTCGTAATGCTGGATGCGATGGGCTGTCATGAAGTACCATCTCCCTCTGTTGAGTACTCAAAGCTTTTTAGAGACACTAAG